TGGCTTCAGTTCACGGTCTCGATTACCTTTGACATATAAGCTATTGGCTTGAGAGCTTTCCTCTGCATTATGCTTCCACTGGTTGTGAGCCAACAAGGCTACAGTAATCTCCTCAACGTTGATACTCTCTTTCTCATATGTAAGAGTAGTCACCATGTGTTTGTAAGAGGGAGGCAACAAACACAACAGAATCATCGCTCTGTCTTCATCCTCAATTTTCATATCAAGCCGAGCCAAATCAGAAACGATTTGATTGAAGACACTCAAATATTGCGTCAAATCATGATCGTCCTGTATCTTCAGCCCATACAGCCGCTGCTTTAGATACAGTTTTATCGTTAAGGATTTGGACATAAACTGACTTTTCAACTTCCTCCAAATTTCGTCTGGAGACGACAGATGCATGACGTGATACATGACCTCGTCCGCCTAGCATAATCGTATGGTTCCTGCCGCTCGCTGTTGCAATTCTTCCCAATCTTTCTCCTCCATCGATGCCGGCTTTGTAGGTCGCAAAGCCTTCAGGATCCCTTGCTGCGCCAACAGATCCTTTACCCTCGTTTGCCATAATCCGAAGTTACCCTGACCATCGAATTTCGCAACTTCGAATTTTGCTTCTGACATCTGATACCAATTGTTGAAGAATCGGGTAAAGAAAACAAAAGAACATAAGAATTTTAATGAGGTTCGGCAATGTGCTTACGTCCTTGGTGCCTAGACGGCGCTAGAAGTTTTATTCAATATCTCATAGGTTTAGGTTACACCTTTATTTATAATAAAAAACCTGGTACATAATTACAAAATTAACCCTGTACCGTATCACGGGGCTGCGCCCCCGCACCCCCAACCTACATAATCGTAACCCCCTCTACGAGACTTTCTTTGTAAGGACAATTGATGTTCGCTTCGCTCACTCCATCCCATTTCCTCTTTACCGGTATATTTATGAGTCATACCTAACATCGTAAAATTCTAAATTCGAACAGTTGTATCTATAAGGTGTATTGTCAATAACTAAAAAAATAATAATACAATATAATATTTAATAATTATTTTTATTACTTTTAAAATTCTAATAATCAAAACCGATTATTATAGTACCCTTTAATATAGTATACAGTGGATAAGGGCAATACGTGAGTGTGCGTGATGAATTGCATCCTACCTTGAATAGAAACCCACTATAAAAGTATTAATAAACTAACACTTATTTAAATAGTATTAATTAAGCCATTTATCATTAATATTATATAAAAGTATTAATATGATATTTAATAAAATTGATATAATTATACATATAATTTTTAATATTTACATATTATGTTAATTTAATATTAATTTAATAAATTTTCTCTCCTACCGTGTGGTCACATGTGATTAGTGAGAAAATAAACTACAGAAAAATTGCATAAGTGAGAGGATGAACTTGGGTTTTCTTGGCTGATAATCAGCACCCTAGCCACTGAACCAAAAGCCCATTTAGTTGATTACTTACACTTGCATTTATTTACCTCATAATATATTATTAATGATAGTAAAATAAAAAAAATAAAAACATTCAAATAAAATTTAATTTTTAATATTTTATACTTTTAAATAAAGTAAAATAAGTTTAATATATTTATATTTTCAAACAGAATTTTGCCCATGTTAATCCATGGAGTGTGGTGTTGGTATAAAATTACAATTTTGCTAAAATTAATGGGCCATAAAGTTACACCTTTGGATATGTGTTTTTAGGTCTAATAGGGAACATAGTTTTATTAATTAGCCCAATAGTATATATTGAAGTTTGTTTTCGTATTTATGATATTTGTTATAGTGTTGAAAGAACTTATCACGTAAAGGTGATAAGTTTCCCTAAAAATTATATTTTATTCGAATGATTAATATTTAATTATTTTTCGTAGAATTCATCATGCCGAGGTGACGAGTTTTATTAAAACAATATTATTTTTTAATTTAGAGTGTTTTTATAAAAAAAAAATAGGGTCTAAAATAAGTAGTCATTTATATTCGTTGGCTAACTACATTATTTTTTTGAATTGATGGAACTCGTCATGTGGGCGTGATGAGTTCCAACGGTCATTTAAAAAAATCATTATAAAATTTTTACCTCTTTAATGTAATATTTCATGGTTTAGTGTTTAATAATGTTTATGATTCATTGTTTTTATAAACAAAATCTATTATGATCTTTTTAATTTTTCATTGACACATCACTTCATTTCAGTACTCAATCACACCATTTAATACTTTGTATTAAATAAAACCTATCAATATAACCATTGGAACTCGTCACCTGAGCATGATAAGTTTTATTTATTTTTTTTAATATTTAAAAAAACTTCAAATTCAAATTCAAAAACAAAAATATTATTTTAATGGAACTCGCCACTTCGATGGGATGAGTTCCAAGAAAAATAATTAATTATTAAACTAAGAGAATCGGTTGAATAAAATAAAATTTTCATTGGAACTCGTCACTTGACGTGATGAGATCTAGGAACACTATAACAAATGTTGTATATCCCAAAATAAACCTTTACATGCCTTATTGGACTTATTATTTTTTTTAGTTTGCTGTATTGGGCCAATTTGGCTGGTTCAATTCACGGGCTTCATTCGATTTTGGACTACTATGAACCTTTGACGGAATTCATGGCGCCTTTGCCATCAGAGGGAAGTGTGGTCCTGATGGGTTTCAACCTTGGAGCACTCTGCATATCGATATGGACAAAATCAGAAATTAATTATTTTTATTACCGAGTTAAGGGTTAATGATTTATTAATCAAATTATAGGTAACCGATAACATAAGTGATCATTATAGATTTTTATATATATTTTGCTTAATCAACGATATCTTATTTATTGATTAATTGAAGGTCATTATACATGTTTATTATGGGACAAACCTTTCAATTAATTTGTTATTCACAATGTCACGATTTAAATCAGTAACCTTGTTTAAAGATCTAACTCATCTAACTAAATCAAATCAATTGATAGTTGGATGAATTTTGCATTTTTTCGTCTGGCATAAAAGGCTTAAGAAGCCATCTCATAAGAGGTCAGTGGTGCTCAGTCTTACTCAATTCAATTGCTTTGTAGAAATCTGGATTCATCACTTCATTCTTGGTGTTTAGGGGTTTGGTTGGATATCACAGAAAGCTTAAGGGTCAAATTATAAATTAATCATTTTTAATCCAACGAATAGAAAACATAACAATTATAGTTTGATGATCAAAATCAGAAAAAATAATCGAATAAAGGTGACATGTTGTAGTTGACCAAATTAAAATCAAAAGTGTGAAGCCACTTTTAAAACAGTGTCATTTGCTTAAAGAACATATTCAAGAACCCAAACTCATAAGGCATAGAGTGAAGCAGTGTTGATTGCCGGTGGGTGTTGGAACATAAAATTCATCATCAGTCCAGTTATTTTCACCCAGTGTTTCAACATGCTTTCCCATTCACATACATTGTCAATGCACTTCTTCCTTCGCCTGTCCTTCACCTTCATCCTCCAATGTCCGTCGCTGAAGTTCGCCTTCTCCGCTTCCCGTCTATCAACTCCAACTGCGCCTTTTGCTTCGATCTCAACAAGCAAACTGCTGTAATTTCTCCGGCATCGCGTCGTGCACTTTCCACCATCTTTCATGTGCCGCATCGCTAGCAAACTCTAGCATTATGTCCACATTCCAATTGCAATCATAGTCCTTGTAGCACAACCATGGCTTTATGCCCAAGTAATGAAGTACATAAAGGACAGGCGGATCGCTGCCGAAGAGACGTGTTTTCTTTTGCTTCACGTCTTCCTCGTCGCCGCTCCAGAAATGTTTGAGGAAGTTCATGTGCCGTGGAATCCGATGCCACCATGTGAAGACCTCGTTTAAGTATCCTTGATCCCCACCGTTGTATGATTCGAACACATCTAGTGATCCATCAAGATGGAAGGTGCAGTTTGATGGCTCAATGACCATCACACCGGAGTGAAAAGTGTGGCGTTGTTCCCCGTCGCCGATATTTCCGGCATGCCGAATAAGAAATCGATGTTGCGAAGAATTAGCAGATCGGCGTCGATGAATATGATCTTATCGTATTCGGTGAGCTGCCATAACCGGAACTTGCTGTAGTTTATCGTTGTAGGCATCTTTTTCAGCTTTGGATTCTGATCCTTTGAATTGTCCTAACTTTCCATCCAGCTGCCTCAAGTCCACTCCGGTAAAACACATTGATCGACTCGTCGACGAGTATCAACGAGGTCTCGAGTTGAGCCGGACATGCGGATACTTGAGCCGCTGCTATTGCCCCACATACATATACATGAGCTGAATGCAGAATTGTCGCATATGCTTCTCGAGATGGATTCCGATATGTTGATGCTGCATTTACTTGGCCGATGTTGCCAGACTAGCTGCGGATAGCTGCAGATGCAACCGAGCAACATCCCTTGACCAATTCCCTTCGTTCCTACAGGAAGCTTAACAGCAATCAGATCGAGACGTTTCCCAGGGACTTCGATCTTGGGTAGCGCGGGGCAAACCGGGACGTCTTCTTCTTGCTCCTCGTCGATCCATTCGGGATACAACGAGTCCCATGTTACATTGGGTCGGCATGATCCAATCGAAGAACCATGTGGTTGGCATCAGATATGAGGTGCTTCCAATGAGTGATTTCCGTATCATTGAAGTTCAAAAGCCCAATTCCCTGGTAATCATTCTTCTTTTTATCCATTTTCTGAAAAACTTTGATTACATCACCCCAGTTGGTATCTACATCCGATACATATCGAAAATCTGCTTTTCCCCTATCCATCTGTTCACGAAATTCGTTCTGCATGGAGTATCATTTCTATGGTTATGTATGTTAATGTATGTATGTGTAGGAGAGACATACCGAGGCGATGAAGGGTGGGATTGATTGGGCCATGGAGAGTAGAAAAGCTTAACGAAAATGATACAAAGAATGAGAAGCAGGAGAAGCAATGGATATTTACAGCAGCATGAGGAGCGGTCTTGGACTAATGGGAGATGGAAAGGCTTCTCATCAACATCTTTCACTTTGTTCTTATTTACTCTTCTTTTATATATGGCCTCACTGCAAATCAATGTTAATGGAAGAAAACAAGTTATCATAAGGCAGCGTGGAACAACTACTTTATATATTTAAGATTATATTCGTGTTTTTTCTCTCAAATGTTTTAATTCATTTTTATTGGACAGATAACAGAAATTGAAGTCAAGATCTAAGTTTCAAAGGAACAAACTATAAACTTTTTTAAACTAAAAGGTAACTTCTAATTAACTCATAAATATTCAAATTATATATATAATTTAATTTTTTGCGGGGTTGGGGGTTATAGCCAGGGGCAGACCCAGGGGTAGCCAGGGGTTGCCCGGGCAACCCCTCAAATTGTGAGAAATAAAAATACTCTCAAAAGATCCGGCCATTTTTATTTCCTTTGCGGAGTCCCAGGACACTGTCAAGCCGGCCAGAAAGTTGATGTGTTGGTTAAACCGTCATCCAAAGGCCCAGCCGTATGTCCTAGCCCTTCTACTTTGGGTTCGTCTCCTGCAAACTCACCATCAGAAATGGTGAGTGCACCTGGCTCTGTCTCCAGGGGCGGACCCGGGGTAGCCAGGGATAGTCCGGGCAACCTCTGAATTTTTGTCCTGGGTCCGCCCTTGGTTATAGCCCCTCTCATTTACCAAGTACACTCGTCCCTGGTAGAGAGTGTTAATTATTTTCAGAAATAGAATTATTATAATGTAATATATATTATTTTGTTTGATTTATTTGATAGGATGTAAGATTATATTATTTTATGAGTAGGGTTTAATATTATTTAAAAATAAATTTTATTGAATATTTATTGTCATATATATATATATATATATATATATATATATAAAATAAAATTTAATATTTAATATTAATTAAAAATAAATTAAGATAAATTAATAGATAAATTTAAGACTAAAATAATTTATATGGTCATGAATTTTATATTACCGGTTAAAATCTTGAAAATAACATTTTTATAAATTTTATCACACAATTGACCTAATTGATAATGTAACATTCTTGCATAAGAAAAATATTTATAATATTAAACAATAAAAATATCTTTTTAAAATATTATTACACTCTATAAAGAATATTCCTTTAACTAATACATTGTTGACATGTTATTTTTTTTTCACTTGAGAATAATATTCCATTGTTTATGAATATAGAGAGAAAATGCACTTCTTTAGCTAAATAATGCAGCGGAAAAAATTTAAAAAAATACATATGTTTGATAATTATTTTGAGACCTAAGTTTATAATTTTATAACGCAGGTGGAACTCATCATGAACAAGGATGGATGTATATGTTAAAGAGGTGAATTTGACTTTTTAAAATCAACTTAAATTTCAAGAAGACAAAAAAGATTTTAAATAGAAAATACATAAAAAATCTAAATTATTTAGTAACTTTAAAATTTGAAGGAGGCGACTGCCCTCATCATTCCTCGTAATAACGGCCACGTATACTATGACAAATGGCATAGATCTCAAAATAATTCTCAATCTCTCCTATTTTTCAATATTTTTTTCACCCACAATATTTCTTAAATTTAAAAAAGAAGTGCACAAAATTTAGGCTAAAAATAGAATAAGATCTCAGCATAATAATTTTTTTTTGTAATGTAATGGAGAAAATCAGCAACATAAATCAAAGAAGTGCGACATCACATCGAATATATTTGGTAGAATGATATCTTCCGTAGGTGAAGTTTTGTTTTCGATCTTTCAGATGAACCTATGGAAATAATGCAAGTTTATCTTTTAGAATTTAAAATGATTTATTATTGATGAAATAAAGAAATTTAAAATAAATTAAATTTGGTGGAAGAATTAATAAAATTTATTAAATTAATGTCTAATAAATTGATGACATTAAATTTTTAAATAAAAGTAGATATAAGATAATAAATATTAAAAAGCACTCCTATGTTTTTATAATTAAATTTAAAAGTAATTAAAAAATGAATTTAAACAGAACAATTTGAGATATATAAACAAAGATTCGTAAAATAGAATGATAAACCAGTATCATGAATGTAACAGTAGCGTGAAAGGAACAGCAGTCGGCCAAAAGCTAATGGAACTCGTAGACTCTACTTCTACTCATACTCCAGAAGAAGAAGAAGAAAACTAATTTTAAAAGGTATTTTCCTAATTTAATTAATTAAATTTGAGTTTCAATGAAGTTAAAAACATTCTAGTGTTTGATAAAAAAAAACAATTAAATCTACGAAAACCAGGCGATCAACATATGAAATAGCACAACATAAACTGTCTGCCACCTCCACCAGGACTTAGATACACCGAGGTATCATTTCATCATCTTAGGATTTGGAATTCTATCATTTATAATACTTTTTGTAAAATATGTATTGATCATAGGATGAAAATATTCAATATATCGTTTTGACGTTTACACCTGTTAGGGATCATTTTCCTTTGACCAAATTGTTTAAATCGTATGAAAAGTAAATGCGTGGTTGGTTAAAAGGAAGCCCCCATGGTGGTCGGTCAATCATTGGATTCAGAATTCTAGACAGTAAGAACGATCCTTTTGTTATTATATTATTACAGTTGATGGTAAACTTTATATATCCACAAGGGTAAATATGATTGTAATTTTAAGTGCCTGGAATTCCTCAGAAACTGAGAGTTGCAGCAGAAACTATGGATTTGCAGTTGCAGTTAAACCCATATTCTAAACGTCACTTTAATAGTGCGACCTAGGTGACCCGGCTGTCTTTCCTCTACCCTATTCATTCCACTCTAATTGAGAAAATAATTTCTGATTTTTTTTTATCCCATCAATTATGCAGTTTTGCAGGTAAACAAATCCTGAAATATTACTAGTGCAAGAAACAAGAAGAAGAAGAATGAGACTCACATTGATGCAGATAAGCGATGTCTGGGTAAGTTGCCATAATCTCTCTCATTCCTAGGCCTTCAGTGTTAAACGGCAAGGGCATGCATGCAAAATCTGATCCACAAAAACAATGAAAACTGATATAATATGAACCAAACGACGGAGGAAAAGAACAAGAAATGCCACAAAAAACTGAACCTATGATGTGTGGCAACTGGCAAGAGAGAACACAGGCCTTGAAAGCCAAACAAACAAGGCAATATAGGCTGTGGGAAACTTGCTCCCTCAATTATTATATTATTTACTTCATACCCCAAAAATCTTTATTATTATTATTATATTATTATTATTATTATTTATTTTGATTTCTCACCATATTTTTTAGGCTGTGGGTAAACTATATTTTTTGTCATCCATCTATTCATGCAGTTCTATTTGGTCACAAAATTATTTTTTTTTCAAATACCTAATGTACATTTGATATGCCGTTAAAAAATTTAACAGTGATTTTAACGTATCATCATAAGATAATGTCATATCATCATTGAATAATTGGAAAAAATACTCACATCACCAGTTCTGTTTATTTTTTAACGACGGGTGACTAAAATGGAACTAAAACATAACGTTAGTAGGGATGAGAATGGGAGTTGAGCCCGACGAGTTTCAGCCCGACCCTATTGAGTCATTTTTTTAAATTAGGTTCAAATTGGGTCAAATTCAGGTTTAGGGTGAAAATACCCCTCAAAGCACACATCATTGAATAATTGGAAAAAATACTCACACCAGTTCTGTTTATTTTTTAACGACGGGTGACTAAAATGGAACTAAAACATAACGTTAGTAGGGATGAGAATGGGAGTTGAGCCCGACGAGTTTCAGCCCGACCCTATTGAGTCATTTTTTTAAATTAGGTTCAAATTGGGTCAAATTCAGGTTTAGGGTGAAAATACCCCTCAAAGCACACAAAATATAATTATACATTGTATATTTAGAGATAATTATACTAATACCATTATTTATATTATTTTTTAATTGAATTCCTATTTTATTGAATAAAATTTATATATATGTGTGTGCGTGCGCTTGCACGTCGGGTCGAGTTTCAGATTTGGTAAGTCACCCTAAAGTTAGATCATGTCGAGTTTCAGGTGGAGATGTATTTTATCAGGTCGAGTCAAGTTGGCTAGAAACACGACTCGACCCGACTCGACTCATGCACATCCCTCAATGTTAGGTATGATTTTGGAAATAAAAAATAGCTGGGTGACCAAAACGAAACCGTGAGAATATGTGGGTAACTAACTACATAGTTTACCCTATTTTTAAAAAAATATGTAAAAATATATAAGATTTAATTGTTTATTGTGGGTTTTAGTAATTGAATGGTGGGGCTCCACTTCAACTACTTATTACACCCGTCTTCAACTTCTTTACCATAAGTTCCATTGCCCCCGACAATTAATGATTCTCAAATTGCTTAATTTGCCCTTTCTCATGAAATATAATAATTATTTACGTCCAGAAAAGTTTTTTATTTAAAAAAAACAAATATTGGGTGATTGGTGGTATTGGCTTTTTGCAAAAGTAATAGGAATAATGGGGGAAAACGTCTAGGTTTAATGGTCCTTTCAAACTTTAACTATTTCACCAAACATACCCTAATTAAGAGCAAGTCAAAAGAATTATCAATTATTGAACAGAGATTAGCGCATAATTTTGTTTTAAAGTGAAGCATCAATGCGTTGCCCCACTAATCTTTCAATTTATAGAATTTCACGGCTACCATTTGAATCAAACTTAAAATTCCAAATTTTGAAGAGTAATAAGACAAAAAAAACAAACTAAACTAGAAAGACCAAATCCATAAATTTCAAAAAGTACATTGAGCAATAGAAGAATTTGACCTAAACATGTCATTTAAACTTGGGTAAACTCACGTTTAGTACTCCAACTATCACTCTTGTTCCGTTTTGGTCATCAAAGTGTTTTTGGTTTCACAATCATACATATCCTTACGCTTTGCTTTCATTTTGGTCACCTATCGTTAAAAAATTAACGGCGATGTTAATGTGTAACCATATGGTAATGTCACATCATCATTAAATTTTTTTAAGAAAATATCATGTCAGTAGTTCTGTTAATTTTTTTAATAGTGGTCGAGTAAAATGAAAGTAAAACGTAACGTTAGTTATGAATTTTAAAAAATAATAGTTGGGTGATCAAAACGGAATAAAAGTAATAAGTGTGATACTAAATATGTAGTTTATCCTTTTATGTGAAGCCCCCAGAAGAATGGAAACTAATAGGAAGAGATAACGTGGAGATACAGAAGGTGGGACTTGTCTGTATGATGGATGCCTTGCACCCATCGCTACGTATCTCTCTCTTACTCCATCCCATGCAATTAAAGTCTAATCTTTCCTAGGTATTTTAATAGTATATAATTTTTCAACTAAACAAAATTTTAAGGCTTCAATTGGCAAAAAAGAAAGAACTCAGAATCTAATTGTCTGGAAATTCAATAAATACATGGATATGACACTGACAACGTATATGTGTTGTTGTATTTGAAGGTAAGTAATGTCAATGTGATTGGATGGTATGTGGTCCACATTGGTACCGAAGGCGGCTACTCTTATTGTTGTTTTATTGGAAATATATTTTAGAATGGGAAACTACGTTTAACTTGTTGATATAGTGGGGTGAGACATTAAATTTTTTGAGTAAGGGTAGAAGCTTGAATAATGATATTTGCATATAGAACAAATTGGGTTGAGAGGGTCGTCCCTAAGTCTCTGTAAAATTCAATCTGATTTAGTCGGTTAATAGATCGAATATAAGTGATTATTTAAAAAAATTAGTTATTTTATATGCTATGAAATAAAAAAATGTTAAGGGGTTTAAAATGTCATCCTATGTTGAATTTATTCAACGATTTTAATGATAAAAAATCATTATTATTTTAAAATTCTTGAATTCGAACGATTATATAGGTAGGAAGAATGTATTACGTGGTATACTCTTACAAGTATAGAAATTCATATATGTGAGGTGGCATGTTGATAATATTTAGAAGCGTGTAAGTAAGAAGCAAATAATGATGAATGGGCAGACTAATAGTGCTTAATGTTGGGTATCTGTCTAATATTAATTTGATGGTAATGCTTGGACCGCTTGATAACTCAGTCCCACTGACTCACCCAAATCTCAACTGTACTTGCAAACTAAGACAGATGACCTATCGTGGCTTCTCTTCAAAGGATTCCTTTTTTGAATTTTGATGTATTAATAACAAATATTATTTTGATTTTGATTTATATTAAATTTTCAGGGACGAGATTAAGGTGCAGTATTGACGATTGATCCACGTGAAACTTTATTATTTTCTGAGATTCTAGTGTTGTACTTATTATCGTTTTATTTCTCCTTATTGCACTCATCTTAAGGGCAACAGTATGTGTGTCGATTTGTTATCTACAATTATAGTTTATAGTTATATTTTTATCTTTTTTATTTTATTTTATTTTTTTATTGTTTTTCTTTCAAACTTTTTTTTTTTTGTAAATTGTGTCTCTATTGTTATTTCTTCGTTTGATGAATTGTAAAAACAAAAACACTTGTATTCTTTTTCTCCTCAGAAAAAAATAGAACCTATCATTTTAAAACCGATTAACGACTATGATTCTCATCTAAATAAAAAATGGCATTGGATTTCAACAATTCTCATTAATAAAATTTATTTTGTCAAACAGATGTTCATCGCTTCCTCCGAGATTACTTTAGTAGTAACCTTAAAAGTACAATATCGTGTAAATTATTGCGGAAGGGTTAGGGATGTTTAATGAGTTGAGTAGCTAATAAGTTGTTCGAATTTGATTCGGTCAAAATTTTGTTAAAGTTCGAAGTTCAACTCAACTCGATAATTTTGCAAACAACTCATTTTTTTTAAATAATTTTTTTTAGTAATTTGGTGTTTGCAAGCAACAATGAATGAATTGAAGAGAGTTGATTTTATATTTTTAATACTGATATGTATCGTTGAACTTCTGTTTTCTTTTTTAAGAAAGTTTTTAATATGCTAGTTTGATGTAATTGTGGATTGTTACCATAGTTTTAATATGTTAATTTGGTGTACTTGTGGATTGTTACTTTAGAGTTTAGACATTAAAATTACTTCATACATTTTAAAAAAATATTTTTAATTAAATTTATTAATTTATGTTTATATTGAAATCTATATAGTATTAATAGATTTTACTATAGTTATAAAAACAAAGTAAATTTCAGTGAGTTTAAACGAATAATGAGTCCAGCAGCGAGCTTAATAAGCAACGAGCCCAACAACGAGCTTAACGAGCAACGAGTTAAGCAAAGTTTTTTTAACGAGCACAAATCAAGAAAAATTTTAACAAACTTAGCAAGCAACGAGTCGAACAAAATTTAACGAACTTAACAAGTAACGAGAGTCGTTGAGTAACAAATATTTTTAACGAGCAGAATCAAGTATTACTTAACTCACAATCGACTCGCTCCGATAAACATTCCTATGAAGTATACTAGAATCATAGTTAAGTAGAAGATATTTTGGACTGAACTTACGGAAAATACATTTAAAGACACAACCCACACATCTAAAGGGAGACCAGCAAGCCTTCTGATTAAACTGATGAGTTTTCGAGACGATCATTCTTTTAGAACTCCTTCAGGATAATGTCAATTGTAATACCGAGTAATTCAGCCGATAAGAACGTCGATGCGGACATTTGACATTAGCTGTTGCAGCTCCAACCAAGATTATGTCCAAGCCATTTGTGTCCGATCAAAACTGTTGAGTCAGCGTCGACAGTGGAGACACAAAGGTCATAGTACTTTGGAACTGGATATTATATCCAAGTCTTGAAAAATGTGAAACGAGCTTTCGAACCGATCTAATCAGAACCATGATCCGGCAGGGGTCATCTTCATATCAAATTAATTTTTTCTATCACCATCCAAATCCATATCCACACTTCATATAAAAGTTAGAAAAGGTTTGGCATACTCCAAATGATGCAATTATACATACACCATCCATGTTCACAACAATATATTTTTATCACAATGCCAAGCACTTTTCTATATCTTACTAGGCTGTGCGATGGACAAGATCCTAAGCAATAATTCATCACTACTAAATTTTGGGGTGATAATGGTTTAATTCGAATTGAATTCGGGAAGAATTTTCTCAATTTTTTTGCAGTCCTTAACTAAATCCATCCCCAGTAAAGAAGAATGAAGAAGAGACTAAGTGATAACTTATATATGCCAAAGTTC